TGAAACTGGTTTCAGTAATTTTATTTAAATATCCTAGGGCTAGACAAAGCCTTTTTAAAAAAGGTATACAGGTGTTTTACCTGCATGCCATATCTATGCACCACTTGTGTGCCTAGTACAGATGGAAGACAAAGAGGCCTGAGACCTCTGAAAAGCAGGGGTCATCCATCTCTCCAGACCCTAAAACTCAACTACTGAAAAGCCTTCTCGTGGAGCTAGAAAACTTTTTTCCATGGTAAACAGTGCTTGCTGTTCTTGCAGAGGACCTGGGTTTAGTTCCCAGCACCCACATCAGGCAGCTCAAACCACCTATAGCTCCAGCTCCAACACCAGTTCCCACCTGGCATACACATAATACAAACAAAGAAAAGCCTTCTCACAAATAAAATCATATCAACTGAGGGCAAAAGCTAGAACACAAATACAGCTTAAGAACAAGATAGTGGGCTCTCTAAAGCTTTCTGCCTTTGTTAATCCTTTTATAGCTAAGAAAACTGAAATTCAGGAATGAATTGCTTTCCAAGGGTTGGGCAGACTAAAGTTCAGAACCTGAATTGCCACATTCCCCTTCTGGTTTGAGAATTTATTTCAGCCACTGATAGATGAATACTACTCCATATACCAAGGTTCTTCCCTTTCCCTTCTTCCTCTCTCTGCTCCCCTTCTTTAAAAGAGGAAGCAGTTTGTTGATGTAAGGTTGGATCTTGCTGAAAGAAAATGTGGCAGAGCAGAGCAGTTTACATCGTGGCAGACAGGAAGCAGAGAAAAAGGGACTATGGGGCCTGGGATACAGGGTCCAAAGCCACACCTCCAGCAGGCTGCCTCCCCCAGCAAACCAGGGGAAGTTGTTTTTCCATCATCCATCAGCATCATAATAACCACAATTCAACCTAACTGCAGATAAGGAAAACTACAGGTCAGTGAAGTTAGTCACACAGGAGATAAATGTCAGCACAAAGACTCAAATCTTAGTATAAATTTGACTCCTTTAAAATCATATACTTTCAGGTTTTTGAAAAACATATTCAACAATGTGAAAGAAACACTAACTGACACCCACCAGTTATATCCAAAGCTACACAGAGAAATCCTGTCTCGAAAAACTAAAAAAAAAAAAAAAAATACACACACACACACACACACATACACTCTACAATAAAGTAGGATTTATTCTAGGGATACAAGGTTGATTTAGCATCTGAAAAACCAATATAATACCATGCTGATTTTATTTAAAAAGAATACAAGAAAACACTAAGAATAACTTTAAGTGAACAAATCAGACAGCTTATAAGTAAGTATCTAGAAATTAAAAATCATCAAGTGACTAAGGAAATAAAAAATGTAAGCATAACTATATGAAAAAACTAAAACATTTTTATAATGAATTAGTAATTTAAAAATATTTTAGGAAAATTTCATATCCACATGGCTTCAGTGGTAAATTCTATCAAACTTCTAAAGAAACAATACTAATTCTTTATTATAGACTATAATTCAGACTATAGAAAAGAATATGATTCTACTTTCATTTAGCCTTTGAGGCCATTTATTACTAATACCTAAGCCAAACAAAGACATCACAAAAATACTACAATCAAATCTAATATCTGGCACACACCTTTAGTCCCAGCACTCAGGAGGCAGTCAGGTGTATCTTTGTAAGTCTGAAGCCAGCCTGGTCTACAGAGTGATTTCCAAAACAGACTCCAAAGCTACACAGAGAAACCATCTCGTAAAAGCAAAAGCATAAAAATAAAATTATACATTACTACAAAGTAAAGTATTTTAGGGTACAAGGTTGCTTTAGCATCTGAAAATCAATAAAATACCATGCTGACAGAATAAAGGGTAAAAAGCACATTAGCAACAAAATCTAACCAGTCATAACTAAACCTCAATAAACTTGGGAATACAAGGGACTTTTCTTAGCTTAATAAGTCACTCACGAACAGAGAGTAACTGAATACTGCATTGTAAAATAAATGGACACGGTAAGGCTCTCATCAGTTCTTTCTAACACTGTACTACACAGAGTGAGAGGTACAACTGGAGTAGTCAGCCAGAGGAACTTCTTTTTTAAAGGACGGCTTTTTTAAAGGACGGCTAATCTCGACATTCCTCTACCTATTTTACTCAAAAGCCTTACACAGCATCCCTATGTATTCTTTATGACAACCTCTCCATAGTCTAATGTCTCTTGCTTGCTTTCTAGACACTAAGGCTGACTTTGGTTTCTTCAAACATAGCCAAGCTTCTGTTTCAGGACTGGTGACCTTGCTTCTACAACATCCTTATTTTCTCAGACAGACCTTCTTAATCTGTAGTTCTCCTTATTCCCTTCACCTACATTTTTTTCTTCACATTTACTCATTCTTTTGCTTTCCTCCACTAGAAAATATACTATGAAATCAAACTATTTTATGTACTGCTAGATCTCAAAACCTGAAGCCATGCATTGTACATAGAAAATACCAATAAGTACTAAATGAATGAATAATAATGTCTTCAAAACAGAAAGTTCATATAGTAGAATAAATAAAAAAAGAGCTATTAGATCCAAAAGGCTTAAAAAGACAACAGTTTAGTAACTCAAATCCACATATAACAGAAAAAAAGTTTGAGTCTCTGCAGCCAGATTCCATTACATTCTAAGCTTAGCTCTTCCAATCAATGCCTACATGCCTTCTCTAAGTCTCAGTAATTTATAAAACAAGAGTAACACCACATATCTCCCAAGCTGCTATGAAAATGAAATAAATTTATGTATAAATTTAACTCGATTCAGGAAATAACCAGGCCAGCTTAAAGATAAGCAATTATATTTGACTTAGGCTGTTTTGCTTTTCCCTTCTGTCTACTTAGGAGGCACAAAGAAATATAATGCCCACATCGTTCTCTTGAATTTAGTGTTGACAAGTTCCAGCTTTTCTTTCTATCCTGAATCTTCAGGTTTTTATTAACACCTTTCTGTCTTGGTGGTTTAAAGTTACACAGATTGTGATTTTTGCATGGCTTGTGTGCCAAGCTTATAAATTACTCCCCTATGAAAACATTTCACTATTACTTAAAAATGTGAATGGTTCCTTGTAAGTAAGTGTGCAATATACAAGTTTATCTAGCAGTCATTGACCAGGGGAAAAAACATAGACAGCAGAAAAACTGGAATGTATCTCCAGTATGGTATGTAACTTCAACACAAGTATCCTTTGTTTCACTAACAGTGGGAGTGGGAGTAGGCTGAGACAACAGGAAACAATGTACACCACTGGTTAGTGCTAAAATGGATTCTTAAAAAGAGCTGCTTTGAGAGTCACACCACAACAGAGGCCTTGAAGCTTGGGCACCTGAGTACATTTAAACCTAACTCTGCAAAGCATATGCTGCAGACTACAACTGACAGTGTTGCATGGTTCTGTCACCTGTGCCCTGGAATCTAGTTCTTGATGACAAAATATTGCTCTGGGTAGGTCCTGCAGGAGAAGAGGGAAAGGTAGGGGAAAGACTTACAGCAGAAATTCCCTAAGGAAAACCCTCCCTTTTGACTTTGGGGAGTAGGGTAGCAAGCAGGTCTCATTTTTATGTTTCATTCATGCTACTTAATAATTTGCAAAAGTTTTCTGACTTAAATTTCTCATTTGATTCTCTACATTATCACTGAATGGCTGTACACACATATGGCAACATATGGCAGGGGGTTGAGGATTTAGTTTGGTAGTAGAGTGCTTGCCAAGCAAGTGCAATATCCTGGGTTCAGTCCTCAACACACACACACACACACACACACACACACACACACACACACGCAGCAGAAAAACGGGAAGTTACAACAATTTTATAAATTGAGGGAATGAAGACTGCCCAAAGACATATGTTGAGAGAGATACCATTAAAAACTCGGGTTATCTCAGGGCAGTGGGGGAGCATGCCTTTAATCCCCAGGATTTGGGAGCCAGAGGCAGGCAGATCTCTTGAGTTTGAAGCCAGCCTGGTCTACAAAATTGTTCCAGGACAGTCAGGGCTGTTACACAGAAAAACCCTGTCTCCCAACATCAACCCAGCTGTCTAGGTCCCTCACTCTTGTCAGTGCAACAACTTCTGAGATCCCTTAAGTTCTAGGTATTTTCTTCTTCCAGTCACAGTTAGATAAGCCACTGCCTGCTTAAGGTCCTGTACACTTTGATCCCCTCATTGATCATATTGCTAGTCACAAGGAACCCTAATTCTTCCCTGTCCTGTTGGGTTTCCTTAAATAACTTGAAATTCTGAAGAGGGTTGTCTTCTTAAAATTTCTTTAAAAAGAAAAAAAGAAACTGCAGAATCCCAGGAAAACTAGCAAACAGCTCATGAAAATGTGTCCCATCATAATGGTATTCTAAGATCAGCTTTACAGGTTCCTAGGTTATTTGTACCTCCTGAGCCTCAATTTCTTCATCTATAAAATGGAGTTGTCTAGAAAAAGGGAGTAAGCACAATAAATTCTCAATGTGGTGATTTCCCTTCCTATCTGAGCTGCCCAATGTCCACTTCACACAGCTCTACTGGATCACTTCATCCTTACCCACCCATAATCACATTCTGCAGGACAGAGACTTCCTGATGCTAACCTGGGGCTTGGCAGATCAAAGAGACTTAAATCAAGAAGATCCCCCACACGCACCAATGGTTGTTAGAATACATCAAGAGTTCATGAGAAGACAGCTATGGTTCTAGGTCCGAAGATTTACACTTCCCCGCAGCACTGGCAAAAGCAAGGAGGAGGAAGTCTTTTTTCTGGCAAATGACCCCAAACATTCCTATGGCAACTCCAAGAAAGTGGCTTCAATCCTCCTCCCAGGCCAGCAGGCCACCTAGGCTCATATCCAATCTCTAGAATAATCCAACGCCTAGAAAAAATACTTAATTGTAAGATATCAGTACAAAAGTTGAAAGGAATCCCCAAACTAGCTACCCTATACCTGCCCAAAGTTGCAAAAATCTGCCCAAATATCCTCACTTACCTGTACCAATAAGTTTAGCCAGCTATTTTGTCCTTAGGGTTACAGGGTCAGCAGTAACGGTCTCTAGAACCAGGGCTCACCTGTAACAGAGAAAAGAGGTCTGTCAAGGGTCTTAACCCTTACACATTTTTAATCCTGGTTTCTATCATTTCAGATCATGTTGAGTGCTACAAAGAAAAATTTAAACACTGTCATGAAGAAAAAAAAAAAAGGAGTAAGAGTAAAAGCTACTTCAGATAAAATGGCCAAAAAAACCTTTCAAAGGATGCCATGAGAGCAGAGTGGGAAAACCCAAGGACTTTACTTCTTAAAAGAACAGTAATAATGGTCCATTATATAAATCTTGCTTATTTTTTGAGACAGGATCTCATGTAGCTCAGGCTGGGCTTCAATTCACTATGTAACCAAAGATGGCCCTCAACTCCTAATCCTCCTGCCTCCACTTCCCAATCCTGGTTAAGCACAGACATGCACCACACCAAACCCTGGACTCTGGTGCTGTTGGTCTACTGTATTTGGCTTTTTGGTGTTTTGTTTTTGGTTTCTGGAGATAGGATTTCTCTGTGTAACAGTCCTGGTTGTCCTGGAACCCTTTGTAGACAACCAGGCTGGTCTTGAACTCACAAAGATCCACCTGCCTCTGCCTCCTGAATGCTGGGATTAAAGAAAGAAGCCGACACCAATGCCTAGTCAGCTATCAGCCTATTGTTACACAGAGTTCACAAAGATGCATTACTTTTCTGTAACCACTTTCTTATTTTTCTGTGACAAATACGTAACAAAAAGTCACTTAAGGGAAGGCTCAGTAGTTAAAAGCACTTGCTGCTCTTGCAGAGGACCAGTGTTTAGTTCTAGGCACCCACAAGACAGTTGACAACCACCTATAACTTCAGTTCCAGGTGATCCAACGCCCTCTTCTGGTCTCTGCAGGCCATCAGGCAGATGTGGTACAATACATACATGCAGACAAAGACATATAAAATAAAAATAAATCTGCTCTTTAAAATCCAGTTATGGAAGAAGAGTCTATTTTGGCTTTAAGATGTAATACAGGGAGCTGAAGAGATGGCTCAGAGGTTAAGAGCACTTGTTCTTGCAGAGGACCAAGGTCCAATTCCTAACACCCACATGGTGACACACAATCATCCATAACTCCAGTCTAAAACCCAGCAGGAACCTGGCACACAGATGATATAAAGGAATATATGTAAGCAAAACATTCTCACACATAAAACATTTTTTAAAAAGGCAGACAGATAGATAAATAGACTGAGAGACAAAGGGATATAGAACAGGCAAAATGGTTTAGTAGATAAAGGTACTTTATGGAGCCTGACCACCTGAGTTTCATCCACAGGACCCAAAAGGCAGAAGAGGAAAACTGACTTACCAAGAGGCTTGTCCTCTGACCTATATGCATGCTCATACATACACAATTAAATTAATAAGTCAGTATTAGAAAGAAAAAAGGAGAGATATAGTTCACTATTGAGAGTGAGGGAGGCATAACAGCACACCGTGTCAGGAAGCAGAGGACAGGAAGGGGGCTGGGCTATATAACCTCAAGCTCTCCCACAGTAACCTGCTTCCTTTGGAGAGACTCCAGTTACAAAAGTGTCTAAACCCTTCCAAAACAGCATCACCAGATGTATTTGACCAAAGTGGTCAAATACATGAACTTACAAGGGACATTTCACTTGCAAACCACAACATAAGCTTTTACCAAATGGACCACATTTCTTTTTCAACCGTTTACTTATTTATGTGGAGTGATGATATCTTGCACATGAGTATGCTGTGGTTCATGTGTGGAGATTGGAAGACAACTTGCAGGTGTCAGTTCTCTCCTCTTACTATGTGGGTCCCAGGTATTAAACTCAGGTTGTCATACTTGACAGCAAGTTCCCTTACCAACTGAGTCATCTTACTGCCCCCACCCCACCAATTAAAGACTGATTTTATTTGGGGGCTAGAGAGGAGGCTGAGTGCTTAAGAGTATTTACCTGTATCAGACATAAACCTGTATCAGACATAAACACTTGTTATATGCAGCTCCAAGGCCCTCTTCTGACCTTTGTGGATATCCACACACACATATGGCATTCACTCACACAAACATATACACACAAATAAAAATAAAAAAAAATCTTAACACACACAAAAAATAAAAATCACAAAGTATTATTATTTATTTTTCTTACTTTTATTTATGTGTTTTATGTGAATGTCAAATGTGTGCAAGTACCCAGAGAAGCCAGAAAACATCAAAACCACTAAACCAACAGTTACAAGTAGTTGTAAGTCACTGGATGTGGGTGCTCAGGGGCCTTAGTGTGCTACTCTGGAAGAACAGCAAGTGTTCTCAGTCACTTAATCACTAAGCCATTTCTTCAGCACCTGAAGACTATATTTTAAAGGTTTAAATTATTAGCAAGTGGGCCTATCCTGAATTATCTGATCAAAGCACCTTATACAGTAATATGGACAGCTTTCTGAAAATTAGCATTTACTGTGTCTTGGATGTGTATTCTACCCGTTTCTGGGAACCACATTACTATGGCCTAATTAACTGCAAGTTAAGACTGAAGAGAATTACTCCTCCCTTAGGCCATGCTATTTATTTTAGAGCATTCCATCTAAAAATAGGGAACAGATTCTACAAAAGTAAAAGAAAACAGGAATATATAAGTAGAGACTAAGGGAAAATAAATTATAAAGTAATATAAAATTATGAAAACACTGGAGCTTGGACAGCAAAGGTAGGATAATCAAGCAAAGCCCAGGGATGGAGAAAGGGAATACTTCAAGGGGTAGAAGGCTATAAACTTGACAGAAATAATCATTTCTATATTTGTAAACAAATATTTAAACAACATGTCTTTACAGATCCCTTGGTTGTTTACAATAAATAATTTCCAAAGTCTAAAGGAAGGCTACTTGAAAGAAGGTACTGAAGCTATCTTCCTGAGGAAGGGGGAAAAAGGAGTAACCAGAGTGGAAGAGAACAGCTCCAAGCTCCCTCCAGCAATGCCAACCAGCAGAGGGCCTCCTCCAATTCACTTCTGCTATAATCAGTACTTCTGAGCTCACAACTGCCCAAACGCAGGCAATGAAAGATTAAAACAGAGCAAACAGTCATTGTCCATATACAAGCTGGCATATGGATTTGCTAGTTCTAGTTCAGCTTCCCCAACCTCCCACTTTCAAAGCTGCCCTCAACCCTTTTTCTGTGAGTCCTGCTTTTCTTAGCCTTGTAGTTCTTATAAGACTCCTCCCATTCACAAAGACACCTAACCTTGACTAGAATAATAAATCCAAATGCGGTATTGCTTCAATAAGATCTCACAACATAAAAATTCAGTCAGATAACAAAGTCGTCCAGCAAAATCCTACCCTACTCCCTAATGAAGACGTGTGTCAGAATGCCTGGCAAAACCAGTAACAACATCAGACAATAAGAACATAATATATGCCACAAAGATTGAAATTCAATCCAGGTAGCCTCCAGCCTGCCTGGAGGAATGCCCTAAGAATACAACAGATGTGCAAATTCTTGCCTTTGCATATTCTGGGAACTAAGTAAGAACATTTTTCCTTTCTCAGCTGAAGCTGTCTCCAGTTTTCCCCTCCTCCTTCCCTAAGAACCAATCCTGCAGAAATTATCAAGGGAGGCACAAGTAATTACTGTTTTCTTTTCTCCATGCTAATGAGACAGTTGGATGGTTCCCCTTCCCCCTCTAGAGCTAGAAGGAGAATCTCAGGCTTTATAATCAGAAACCAACACACCAAAGCTCATGCCAGACAGTATTCTGTGCAATTGAGACTATACAGAAGATAGCTTTTCTATCTCTGAAGGACTGTACCACCTGACAAGTGAGGTCATCAATGAACCTCCTTATTCAACCAATGTGCTTTCCACATTATCCAGACTTTGTGATGAAGAACCAATGTGGGGTTCCCTCAATGTGGAGGCTGAACGGTAGGTTTCGAATTCATGTCAGTTTTAAACCAACAATAATAAAGTTATGTAGATGTGAACTCAACCCAAGAAACCAAGGCCTGGGGTGAAAGACCAGGATCTGAGACAATGATAATCTTATACTTCTCCACCAAATTAACACCACAGGGGAATAGGATAGTTGCACAAAAATTAAAAATAAAATGTGTAGATTTTAGTTGGGATTCAAGTCATTTATATGAAGGGAAGACTATCCTACAGGAAGAAGGAACCTCAAGTATAGTAAGACCCTAAAGTGTCTATACTAGGATCTCAGGCTGCTCAATTCCAGATGAAGAAACTGGGGGGGGGGGGGGTGCTTTGCTTTTTGAGACTCATTTCTTGCCTATATCAAACTAATTATAATTTCTTCCCCTCCCTATAAGGCCTGGGTATCAACCTTTCCTCCCTGTTATCTTACACTAGGCTATCTGTAGGGCAAGATCTTGCGGAGCTCTAGCAGCCGCTCAGGACGGTCAGCTGACCATCAATCAGGCTTTACTACTTAAATAGGCTCAGGTCCATTTGAAAGCCCCTACCTTTGTCAACTGCCTTGAACTTAGATCCTTCCTAATAAGACAAAAGCACATCTCTGAACTCCAGACCAGCCTTGCCCAATAACCAGTCTCCAAAGGCTATTTATTTGCTACCATTTCCATTGAGTCATTCTTTTTCCAAGCTCCTGTAAGAAAAGGTAGCAAAGTACAGTTGAAGTAGCAAGAAAATAGATCTCACTTTGACCCCTGGCCAGAGCACCCAAACTGGTGACAGTGCTTCGATCACTCCTGTTTTCTTGTCTATTTCCTCTACCACTTCCATACTCTCAATGACTCAATCAATGAAAGACACTGTCTACAGCAAATGATAAACTATAAAATGAAGTTCTGTGTGTGTGTGTGTTTGTGTGTACACAAGGAGGAAGAGGAATACATAATTTGCCCAGTTCTATACCTGGTTGTTCTTCCTGTACCTCGGATTTTCAAGGCCAAGTGTCTGTCTACACTGAACTAAACTGCCCACTCTGGAAACATGTTTTGCTGAAATTCTCTCAACAGCTGGATCTGACTCCCAGGGTTGGTTCCA